AACTTTAAAATTTTAAATACTAAAGGACTGGCATCAGCGTAATTTTGGGGTAAGATCTAAATTATATATTGACCTGGGAGTGTAGCTGGTCCTTTGGGATCAAAAGAACAAAGTGAATTACCAAGTAAAATAAAATAAAACATGCAAGTCTGAGTCTAATACAGTAAGAAAACTGAATACAAACAAAATTTCACCCTCAGTGGTGTTCCAGTAAGTTTCCTTAGTTACTGTCCTTTGTTCCAGTTTCTTTCAGGTATCCCTGGGGGTGGAGAGGCTCTCTCTTTAGCCAGCTGAAGACAAAATGGAGGGGTCTCCCAGGGGTTTAAATAGACTTTCTCTTGTGGGTGGAGACCCCCTCCTCTCTCCTATGCAAAGTCCAGCTCCAAGATGGAGTTTTGGAGTCACATGGACAAGTCACATGTCCATGCGTGACTCAGTTTTTACAGGCAGCAGCCATTGTTTACATGCTACCGTGAACATCCTCAGGTAGACTTCTTATGTGGATTGGAGCCTTCCAAGATTCATTGTCCTTTAAGTGTTTCTTGATTGGGCACTTAATTTGCACATTCCTTTCTCAAGAAGCTGACCAAATGCTTTACTAAGACTACTTAGAAATCAAGCAAGTACACAGCCAATATTCCTAACTTTGAATACAACAATGACACATGCATACAAATAGGATGAATAGATTCAGTAGATCATAACCTTTACAGAGATATGTTACATGGCATACGTAGCATAAAACATATTCCAGTTATGTCATATATATATATACATTCATAAGCATAGTTCCATGAAGCCTTATGGGGTGCACTGTCACAGACATACCTACTGAGGTCAGGGGACAGCCTGATCAGCATCTGGGACTCGTAAAAAGGCAGAGAACAGAGTTTGGTAGAGAAACCACATGGAGGCCCTGAAGTAGGGTCTGGAAAAAGCAGGGGACTTCACTGAAGCAGCCTGGGAGTCAGGGCTCTCTGCCAAAGCAGGGAACACTGAAAGATAGTCCAGAGAAACTGAGACTATGGGTACGTCTATACTTACTTCCTGGTCCGGATGTAAGCGATCGATCTTCTGGGATCGATTTATCGCATCTTGTCTAGACGCGATAAATCGATCCCGGAAGTGCTTGCCATCGACGCCGGTACTCCAGCTCAGCGACAGGAGTATGCGGCATCGACGGGGGAGCCTGCCTGCAGCGTCTGGACCCGCGGTAAGTTCGGACTAAGGTACTTCGAATTCAGCTACGTTATTAACGTAGCTGAATTTGCGTACCTTAGTCCGAAGTGGGGGGTTAGTGTGGACCAGGCCTAAGAGAGGACTCAGTGCTCTAGCCCAGAAGAAGCTGAGAACTAAGAGGAGACCAAGTAGGCAGGGTCGTCCCTAGAGGGTGTGGGACCCAGGACATAGGCGCTGAGTTTCTATCTGCCAGGAGGTGCTCCCCCCATCTCCGCCCAGGCCCCAACCCCACTCCATCCCTTTCCCCAAGGCTCCACCCCCACCCCGCCTCTTTCCACCCCGCCCCTTTCCACCCTCTCCCCAGATCGCACGGCGCCCTCGCTCCTCCCCCCTCCCACCCAGCACCTTCAGACGAAACAGCTGATCAGTGGTAGGTGCTGGGAGGGGGAGGTGCTGATCAGTGGGGCTCACCGGCGGGCAGAAGGTGCTGGGGGGAGGTTGGTAGGGGGGGCTCCTCCTCGCTCACCCCCCCACCCGCCTCCTGCATCACCTCCCCGTCCACCTCCTCACAAAGTGCGGGGCCTCCTAAAGTGCGGGGCCTGGGGCAGTCGCTCTGATTAGCCATACCCTAGGGACAGCTCTGCAAGCAGGGAAGACCAAGCAGCCCCGGTTCAGTTCTCCCACTCACCAAAAGTTGTTCACTTGACATGGTCTTCACCAAGCACTGCTCTCTCTCCAGTCCCTCTGCTGCTGCGATCCTCCCTCTCCAGCCATGTGGCCTCTTTCTGCACCACCCATCTCCCCCATTCCTCACACACCATCACTCTGACTTTCTGTGACTTCCAGTCCATCAGCACTAACTTCTTGTCCGCTCTCAGTCCTTTCCTCCCTGCCATCGATATGGTTGTTGATTCTCTCCATGCTTCACTCCTGCCTCCATTTCTCTCTGCATAGGATCTTGCTGATTTCTTCCAAGAGAAAACTAGCAAAATAAGATGCAATGTATGATCCCCTACAGCTCTTGTCTCCCTCTCCCAGGTCATAGACAGAGAAATTTCTCATCTGCTCTCCTCCTCTAACCCCCTCTACTTGCCCCAGTGACTCCAGCCCATCTCCTAAACTCCCTCATGCCCCCTTCCATCTGCTACCTTACTCTTCTCCTTAATCTCTCACTCACCTTATAATACAAGTACACTTTAGTCTCATCTTTAATAAATAAAAATAAACAGCCTTGACCCCACTTGCCTCTCCTCCTCTAACCCCTTTACTTGCCCCATTTCCCCTCTCCTTTTCACCTCAAAGCTCACTGAAAGCACTGTTTTGTTACCAGATTTGCCCGTTACTTTGGGGTACGCTCATTTATTATGGTTACTCTTCTGGGGGGGGAGGTTCTGTAATTCTATCAATGTACTGCTTGTGTCACTTGTGTTCTCATACAGAGCTCTACTTCTGCAAGTTCCCTCCCAATGGAGCTATCTTGCAGGACCTAGGTTCCCCAGGGCTGGGTTCTTCCAACACCAGAATCAGATGAACAGCCACCCATACACATTAACAGAGTGCGTAGGAATGGACCAGGTTAATCTGCACTCCCAAACTGACCCCTTATCTGTCCCTGGACTCAGTAGGCTGGGTCGAACAGCACCTCCAAGTTGTCACCCTCATATGCCATGGGCACCGCACTGGAATAGAATATGCCTGAGCAGGCTGGGTCGAGCAGCACTTCCAAGCTGCCATCCTCATATGCCCCAGGTTCAGCACATCCCTATCCCCACTTTCACGTTACAATTGTTCTGGTAGTAACCCACTTGATGGGCAAACCCCACAGGATTTTTGGGCGCTGCAGGGATCTTTAGCTTAGGTACGAGGAGCGTTGCTGCAGCGCAAATGAGGAAGCCAAAAAACATCCGGGAGGGGGGAGAAGCAGCCAGCTTAACCATAAAGTTATTTATTGCCAGGTAATAACCAAAGGGAAGCCAAACAAACAAAACAGTTATAATATTAAATCTAACTTAAATTTGATTATAAAAGTCAGATTTAGAAAACTATAACTTATCACACAAGTCAGGGTCAGAAGGCGAGAGAGAGAGAGGTGGTGGTAGCTGAGGGTCCGGAGTGCTGGAGACAAGCAGAGCCCCCAGCACGATCAGTCAGGAGATGAAGAAGTTCCAATGGAACTGATGCAGATTTTGGATCCAGGCATCAGAACACTTACTTGAGCATGGGTAGGGATTTTTGTAGGGAAAGAACAATGGTTCAAGGGCGAATACTAGATTTGTTTATGGGTAAACTGATGGCCTAAGGGAGTATACCAAAGTTGTTTTGTTCAGGCTAGACAATAGGAACTGATCATTCCTGGCTATGGGTGGTGTTCCTTCCAGGGAGCTCACAATGCAGTTACGCAGCTTCAGTATTTTAGATACCAATAGAAGATTACTAGAATTGGTCTGATAACTACTGAGCTGGGTGTGTGGAGGCATGGGTTCATTAACATCTGGAGCAGAGATCCCCCATCATGCAGTGCTTCCTTGCTTTTCTGGTCCCAGAGTTCCAAGCGGTTCTTGCCTTGGAATCTCTGTTCGCTAATGGGGATGCCTCCCTGTCCCACCTTAGATGCAAATGAGGCTAGGGGAGTTTCTGTAATCCTGTCACCCTTGTCCGGAGGGGTTTAGGTGTGTCTCCCACTGCCTTTTCATTGCTTTTTGTAAATCTTCCTTCTGATCGGCTTTGGTTCAAGAGAGGCTGTGGGGGGAGGGAAGGTCTTTTGTGAGTCAGACAGGCTGGGTACTGCACCCTGGTTCCCCAAGAACACAGAGCTGATAGGTAACAGTTTACAATCACTGTCTGAAGTTCCTTTCCTCCAATTCCATCCTAGACCCTCTCCAGCCTGACTTCAGCCCCTAGCACTCCACTGAATCCCTTTTCCAGTATGACAGAATATACCCGTGTTCAACCCTACACACTATTGTAATAATTTTTGCATGAAGCATGTCTTTTACGGTATCATTTTAAACTCATAATGTGTTGGGCACTATTGTTCTGATACTGTGTGGCAACACTGTATGTAAAGATGTAAGATTTCCCTGTATGATGTTCTTAACACATGTTCCAAGCCCCACAGCGCTGCCCAAACTGAGGTTGGCAAACATCTGTCCTAAACAAAGGAATGTCTGTTCTGCTTAATTTGCATTTAAGTAGTAAACAGTCATCAAGCAGGAAGGGAAACAAAGAAAACTCATACAGGTGAGAAAAACCCATCAGGGAACATCCTTCCACATAGGCTGTCTCCTAGTGCCCAGCTGGAAATGTTTTTCAAGAGAGGAACTGAAACTATAAAAAGGAGGGTCAAACACCCTAAGACACCCCCCTCTCTCTTCCTGCCCATTGCATTCACTCCACCTGAAACAACAAAGGAAGCATTTGTTCGTCTCTGGGGGAGGGATCCTGACCGACATGTTCTGGTCAGAAAGACTGCTGAAAGCATGTGGTAAGAAACTTTGCTTGAATCTGATACAGTTTATTAGTTAGATTTTATTAAACATCTTAACTTTGTTTTTCTTGTATATGCCTCATTACTTACACTCACTTAAAATCTACCTCTTTGCAGTTAATAAACTTGGTTTACTGCTTTATCTAATCCAGTGTGTTTAAACTGAAGTGCCTGAATAACCATTTGAGATAATAAGCTGATATAGTATTTCTGGACTTAAAATATTTTGTACTGTCCAGGAGAGGGCTGGAGAGTACAGGACATATTTCTGGGGGAGAAATCTGGGACAGGGTGTGTTGGGGTCACCCTGCAGTACATCCAAGGCTGGTGAGAGCCAGAATGTAACCCAAGTGTGGCTGGCAGGCTGCTGTTACAGACAGACACTCAGGGGGTGGCTTGCATGCTGGAAGGCTGTTTGAGAGTGGCCCAGGTGGGAACTACTTCAGCAAGACATTGTAAGGCACCCAAGAGTGCAGGGAAAGGGTGACATACCTGCTCATTAGTCTGGATTGTACCCTGGTATGTCAGGTTCTCGGATACCCTTTTGCTAGCCAAAGTGCAGAACCAGTACTCCATCCTCATTCTCCTCTTCACTCAGACCTCTCTAGGTCCTCAAATCCAGGCTATATCTAAGTCTTGCTGATTCTTTCTGCATAACATCTAACATATGGTCTTTCTTATCGATTCACACAGCTAAAACTCTTATCCAGTCCTGCATCTTGATTACTGAAACATCCTTTCCTCTGGCCTTGACAAATGCAATCTTGCCCTGCTCATCTCCATTCAGAATGCTGATGCTTTGACCCTGTAACTATTCTCTTTGAATCCCTCCACTGACTCCCCCTTCTCTATTGCACCAAACATAAGCTGCTTATATTCACTTTCAAGGCTTTTAATGGCCTATGCTCATCCTACCTATCATTTCTAATTCACGATCAAGATGTTGACTCTCTCCTCTAATTGGCCAATGATACCTCCCTCCATCGCCACTTGTTACATTTTCAGGCAAGCACCTTCGTGCTCCCCCCACCCCATGATGTTCCTCATGCTTGAGAGATGCCTCCAGTAAACAGTCATAAAGCTACCCCATTAACCGCTTTTAACTTCCTCCTTAAAAGACTCTCCTTTGCCATGATGCCAACAAACAAACAATTGCTGCACTGTTGGTGAACTGCTACCACTGCCTATCATGCTGGCTAGTACAGTCTCACTGCTTCCTTGTATTCATCTATCTGTTAGTATCCATTTGTCAATTATCATACTTTAAATTGTACTTTTGGTTAGGGACAGTCCTTTTGTCCTGTGCTTGTACAGCACCAACCACAATAGGGTCCTGGCCTATGACTAGGTGCTATGGTAATACAAATAAATAATAAAGTCCCAAAATGATAATTAATGTTCCCACATCAACCTTAAGTCTGCCCATCATCCAATGAAAAAATGACACCTAATATTGCATTTTCAAAATATCTGGCATTTAATAAAACCTAATTCACATCATGTTAACATTCTGTCCTCAAAACAAAGGAGCAACACAGAAAGTGACAGGACTGTTGCCTGTTCATGATTTTGGAACATGTACCAGGTCAATGAAAGCATACGTGGAACCACAAACTCTTGGGAAGCGTGCCTTTGCCTCTTCCCCATTCTTTCAAAATCTCTCCCCTCCCATTCCCACGCCTCAACACAGTTAAAGGCTTGATAGAACTTCAGTTTTCAGAACTGATTAGTGGTGCCCTTATATACAAAACTAAGACAGTACAAGTAGTTTACACAGTTATTGTTACCATGTGGCTTTCAATTATTATATTGTGTATTTTAGCCAAATTAAAAGCATATCTGATCAGCCAAAGGTGGTATAGATTTCAGCAGAACAGGTGCCATGTTGGCTTGCATGGCTTTTGAAATGCAGTCATATTGCAAAAGATAACATTCTTCTTGAACTGTCAAAAACATGAGAGCACACAATAATCCCAAAGCAGTGCTCTCTCACAGCAACGTGAGGTCTACTAAATACAAAGAAATAAAAATGTCCAGACACTCTAGTCTGTTGTAGCATTAACAGAACATGATCCAGAATGTAACTTATGAAGTTCCTCATCTTCAGAAATACGAGAATTCTAAAGAGAATGAAAATTAAGTAGACTCTCTTATCCTAAGTCTCTTTAAAGTCATTTCAGGTATTTTCTCAGGACTGGTGCTGTTTATAAGAGGAAATTGGCAACACTGGTATTGTGGTCAGTACCTGATTCTGGAACACGAAGATTTTTATCCTGTCAAACACCCAAAGAAAGATAAGCAGGATACTAACATACTGGATCCAGGCAAATTTGATCATTTCCCAGAAACCTGGCTGATATGTAGTAAGAGTCAAGGAGCATTACATAAGAAGCATCTGAAACTTCTATTACACCAACGAAACTTGAAAACTTAAAATTAAATGCAGCACAACTGAATAGATGTATGTATGTATATATGTATATCTAGAGAAGGAAGAGGTTAGAAATAAATCCAGAAAAAAAAATTGGACTAAGGGAATTGAACATCCTTTTCATAAGAGAACCACTAGAAGATGGAGCCATAACAGAGCTAGAACAGGTTTCTAAAACTGCATTAATGTTCCGAGCACAAGTTGCTGCACCTTAGGATCTACATATTTACCAAGAAAAGTTTAGTAACATTTCCACTCCTTTGATATTACATACAGATGAAGTGGGACAGACACTGTATTTTAAGTGCAGAACATTGTTAAATACCTTGTTACCTCACTGGAGTTCACACAACTGCTAAAGGATATAAAATAACTTCCACTGGGTAACGGATAGTGGCATTAATCACAAATGGCGCATCTGCTGCTCTTCCTACCAGCCAAACAGGGTTGGAATCAGAAAGAACTGTTGTTACTGCAATGAAAAAAGAATGAAGGTTCTTAAGGGGCCTTTCAAACTGATACCGAAAACACAAATCCTCAGAGAACAGCCACCAAACATTGTTATATGTAGTCACACATAAACTGTCCTGGGATTGGTAGCCATTAGTTCAGACTTACCATTTCTATCTTGATATGCTGCAATGATGTTAGTGAGATCGTAGTCACTTGCAAAAGGGCTGGTGCCATTGATCACAGATACCTGTTACACAAGGTGATACTTTAATGCCAATATAAAACCTTCATGCCCCACTCTCCAGAAAGTTGCTTTTACCCAATTTTTTACACAAAGTGGTTCTGTCTGTAAAGATAAATAATCCCAGTCCTTGGTCTGAATGGCTTGGCAGCCACAGGACCTTCTCCCACCCTCCAGCTCAGCAAGCACACCTTAGTTTAGAAATTCTGGGTAGGGGTAATTCTGGTCATCACTGATGCAGAAAGGGTAATGAGAAGAAAAAGGGAGAAAGGTTCTCCTCACATTGTATCTGATGTCTACTCCACAATGGTTAAGTGACTGCCTCTGGTGCAATTTCAGGTCTCCGTTCACATAAAGCTGGGACCCTGGAATAGGGGAGGACGACTGGATAAAAGCCATGCTCTGCATCACAAATGTTGACATCCTCTGAAACAGTGAACAGTAGATACAACTGAATATAGGAAAACCCTCCAAAAAATCTTCTACTTTTATAAGTCTACAGAATTTCTGTATGGGTTTTATTTTACATCTTCTTAGCTGTTAAATTTTAGTGTCAGATAATTTTAGACATGAGGCTTCAGAGATTCCAAGGTCAGAAGGGACCATTGTGATCATCTTTTAGTCTGACCTCCTGTATAAACACAGTCCATAGAACTTCCCCCCAAATAGTTTCTACAGCATATCTTTTAGAAAAAAAAACATCCAATCTTGATTTAAAATGGTCAGGGAGGAAGAATTTACCATGACCCTTGGTAAATTGGTCCAATGGTTAATTACCCTCACTATTAAAAAATTACACCTTATTTCCAATCTGAATTTGTCTGGCTTCACCTTTCAGCCACTGGATTGTGTTGTACCTTCTTCTGCTAGACTGAAGAACCCATTATTAAATATTTGTTCTCCGGGTAGATACTTATAGACTGTAATTAAGTCACCCCTTAACCTTCTCTTTGATAAACTAAATAGACTGAACTCTTTGAATCTGGCACTATATGGTATGTTTTCTAATTCTTTAATCATTGGGTTCTTCTCTGAACCCTCTCCAATTTACCAACATCCTTCCTGAATTGTGGGCACCAGAACTGGCCACAGCATTTCAGCAGTCACATCAGTGCCGAATACAAAGGTACAATAACCTCTCTACTCCTACTCGAGATTCCTCTCTTTATGCACCCCAGGATCACATTAGCAGATTTGGCCACAGTGTCACATTTGGAGCTTATTTCCAGCTTATTATCCACCATGACCCTCAAATCTCTTTCAGAGTCACAATTCCCAGGATAGAGTCCCCCATCCTGTAAGTATGGTCTTCACTCTTTGTTCCTAGATGAATACATTTACATTTAGCCATATTAAAAGATATCCTGTTTGCTTGCACCCAGTTTACCAAGTGATCCAGATCGCTCTGAATCAGTGACCTGTCCCCTTTATTATTTACTGCTCCCTCAATTTTTGTGTCATCTGAAAACTTTATCAGTGATGATGTTTTCTTTAAGATCATTGATAAAAAAAATATTAAATAGTGTGTAGACAAGAACTGATCCCTGCGCGACTTTACTGGAAACACACCCGCTCAATGACAATTCCCTGTTCACAATTACATTTTGAATCCTATCAGTTAGCCAGATTTTAATCCATTTACTGTGTGCTATGGTTCATTTTATATCATTTTAGTTTTTTTAATCAAAATGTCATGAAGTACCAACTCAAATGCCTTACAGAAAACTATACGAATGTGTTTATTTGGTTATTAGAAGTTAACTACCTTAACTGCTACTCAAACTAGTTTATAGAAGCCCCACAGAATTCTACGTCACACCAGAGAATACAACATTTTATAGCTGATGAAAAAGACAAACATTTGGCCATCTGACATAGTGGAAACCCAATGATTAAGCAAATGTAAATTCATCTGAGATAAATACTTTAAAAATGCTCATCATGGGATATGCATGCTGAGAAGCAGGAATTCCTGCCCAAAGGGTGAGCTGAAGTAGATGGCTCCTTGGCCTTTTTTGGCCATGTAACCTACTGGAAGATTCCTACACTAATTTATTATAAGGGCAAAGCACGAAGAATTTCAGAACCTTCCACATATTAATAATTGCCCCAAAAAAACCCAACCTTTGTTAACATACAATTAAGGTTGACTGGTAGCGCACCTATACTTAAACCGCTGAAAATAAGGAAATATAAAGTTATGGTAAAGGACTCCCAGGCCGCACTGCTACGCAAGCTTAAGTCTTCTTCTCTGCAGTTAGCAATAAGCACCAGAAAAAAACAAAATCTGACCTATCCCTAACAAAATATGCCATTTCCTGTGTCGTCTTGTGTCCAACACAATGCTTTACAATTATTCCTCATCTTAACACCTACTGAAACCTCACTGTGGCAGGTGTAGCCTTCACCTGATCTAAGGATTAGTTCCAGCAAGTTGCCAAAGCTTGTTCTCCCATTTCAGGAGAGGTGCATGTGCAGGAACAGGTGCAACTAGAGAAACGAGAGATCTCTTTTTTTTCTGGACTGTGATATGCAGGAGGTTCAAGTAGATCACAATGGACACTTGGCTCTAAAATCTAAGAACATATGAAAGAGTGGTAAGAATATCTGCTAAAATGGCTGCCACTGTCACCCCTAGAGGCTGACATTTCACTAGGTATGGCAAGAAGATAAGGGAATGTAAGTATGTAGCATCCTTTTCTAACAAACTCTTGCATATTCTCAGTGCCCACCAGAACCCCATAGCTACACTAGCATTCACACAGTGCCATGCATTCTTTCTGTCCTCTGCACTGTACTACTGCCTTGGAGAGTTCTAGCAGTCTGGTGACATATGCACCATAAAGCTCAGTCAGGAGTAACCAAAGGTGATGTCCCTTTGGTTGGAAAGTAGGGAGAAAAATCAAACATTGATTTAGTTAGTCCTGACATACAGCAGACTTAATAAAAAATGTAAATAATGATCTTTTTTATTATCTATTACATTATTGCTACAGGAATGTCACACTGGGCACTCAAATAGCATTGTGATAGGGCCACCTACATTAACAGAATCTGAGCTACTCACATGTAATTGGTAGGAGAAAGTCAGAATGAGCTGGACAGCAAGTACTTGTTCTGTAGATTGTAGAGGAAGCTCTAATTTAAAATGTAATTGGTCCATTTTGCCATCATGATTCTTGTCTTCTTCTCTAGTCTATAAGATACAAGAACTTTATCAGAAATGCATGGCTTGGTAATGGTCTCTTATTACAGGCAGATATCTGGAAGTTAATTACAGCAAGCATACACTAAAAAAAGAATCTCAAGATGAACAGACTACATGTGCAGGGGGAAAAAAGATACATCCTTATAATGCTGCATCCATTTTGCCTTGAACTCACAGCAAGCAGACTAGAGAAATGACAGGACTCTACAGTTCAATGTTCGGTTCATGGACTGCACCCTCAGCAAGTTCGCAAATGACACTAAGCTGGGGGGAGAGGTAGATATGCTGGAGGGTAGGGATAGGGTCCAGAGTGACCTAGACAAATTGGAGGATTGGGCCAAAAGAAATCCAATGAGGTTCAACAAGGACCAGTGCAGAGTCCTGCACTTAGGATGGAAGAATCCCAAGCACTGCTACATGCTGGGGACTGACTGGCTAAGCTGCAGTTCTTCAGAAAAGGACTTCGGGATTACAGTGCACAAGAAGCGGGATACGAGTCAACAGTGTGCCCTTGTTGCCAAGAAGGCTAATGGCATATTGGGCTGCATTAGTAGAAGCACTGCCAGGGGATTGAGGGAAGAGCTTATTTCCCTCTATTTGGCACTGGTGAGGTCACATCTGGAATACTGCATCCAGTTTTGGGCCCCCTATTACAGAAAGGATGTGAACAAATTGGAGAGAGTCCAGCGGAGGACAACGAAAATGATTATAGAGCTGGGGCACATGACTTATGAGGAGAGGCTGAGGGAACTGGGCTTATTTAGTCTGCAGAAGAGAAGAGTGAGGGGGGATTTGATAGCAGCCTTCAACTACCTGAAGGGGGGTTCCAAAGAGGATGGAGCTAAGCTGTTCTCAGTGGTGGCAGATGACAGAACAAAAAGCAATGGTCTTAAGTTGCAGTGGGGGAGGTCTAGGTTGGATATTAGGAAACACTATTTCACTAGGAGGGTGGTGAAGCACTGGAATGGGTTATCTAGGGAGGTGGTGGAATCTCCATCCTTAGAGGTTTTTAAGGCCTGGCTTGACAAAGCCCTGGCTGGGATGATTTAGTTGAGGTTGGTCCTGCTTTGAACAAGGGGTTGGACTAGATGACCTCCTGAGATCTCTTCCAACCCTAATCTTCTATATTCTCACAAGACTGTCAGGTAGAACAGTTTGCCACTGAACTCAGAACAAGGCACTTGGGAACTACTATCAAGAGGTTAGAAGCTGAAACCACTATCAAATAGCAAACCAAAAGACACTCTACACAATCCTTTGTGACATTTCTTTTCTTAGATCTCTTCCAGTGTCTATTTTCCCTTTGACACTGTGTCTATTTCTCTACTTGCAGAGAAAATCTCTTCCAGTGTCTATTTTCCCTTTATCCAATGCATCTATTTGTTTAGCATTCTCCATTCATTCTCTCTTTAATGTTTTTCTAATTATACCTTACCAGCTTATTTTAGCTCTGTACCTCCTTCCCTCATGTCTTCCTCTTTCATTCTCTACTGTATCATATATACCCTCATGGTCTGCACATACCCCCGCAGCCCATAAGGGCCTTTTACTTGGTGTCACCACCTCCCTCATCACCGGAGGTTTCCCAAGCTGCTGTGTGGGGCAACTGGCACGAACCCCAAACACAGATAATTAAGACAACAGGGCATCCCAATTGGCACCCACTTACCACCCCACCCCATTGTAGGTAACCTACCGAGATGAGTGGAACTCGCAGTTGGTCTTCCTGGAGGTGGTTGAAGGCTGGAAATGTGCTCCAAGCCAGGAAGCTGCCTGGGTCAGCTCCAGTCATAGCCACCAGCAGCACCTCATACTGAAATTGTACTGTGGGCTGCTCCATGTAGGTACTTTGCTTCAGCCAAAGTCCTGCAAGTAGAGAGACAATGGGAGAATCAGTGCTGGGAATGAGGGTGAAGGAGAAGTGAACCCTGGGAGGGTCAGGCCTCTCCCTGGTGTTGCTGCTGGCCATCCAGAGTTTCACTCACCCAATTAAAATTTGCCCTGAGCTGGGGGATGAGACGGTTCTGAGCCTAGTGGAGTCATGGGCACCAGGTTTGTATAATTTTTGGTGGTGCCCACAATGGGTCCAAGCAGAGCCATCCCATCCATAGGACAGACCAGGGCAACCGCCCCGAACCCCGCGCTTCAGGGGGACGTGGGTCCAGGGCAGCCTAGGGAATTAGCGGGGGGCCTGGCACATGCAGAATGAGCAGCCCAGCCTGCTCCGCCCCACCCCACCAGCTCCCGGTGTTGCTCAGGGGAGGAGGCAGAAGACAGAAAGAGGCAAAGTGGGGGCAGGGGTGGAATGGGGGCAGGGAGGGGGCGGAGCAGGGGTGAGAAGAGGCAGGGCGGGGCGGGGCAGAGCAGGGTGGTCTGAGTCGCTCGCTGCTGCCAGCGCCAGGCCCCCCGCTAGTCCCCAGGCTGCCCTGGACCCCACGTCCCCCTGAAGAGTGGGGCCCCCAAAGCACGGGACCTGAGGTGATTGCCCCACTCCATCGTATGGATGGAATGGCTCTGAAAATATAAGCCCAAATATTGGTGGAACCAGGACCACCTTCCTGAATATTGGTGGAGCACGGGCACCATGGGCCCATATAACTCACTGCCTGTGAGTGGAGTCTGTTCCCAGGCAGATTCATTCAGTGGAATTAAAAGAAAGCCTGTGAGAAATCAAGGCCATAATCCAACCTGACAACGCTGTTCTCGCACCAGGCCACCCCAAGTGGCATCATTGCCTCAGAGGCTCTGTGGGACATCATCTCCTGGAAGACTGATGGTAGGCAGGGCATGGAGGTCCAGGGTGGAGGGAGGTGCTGCTTGGAGGGCTGGGTGAGGGTGTAGTACCTAAGGGAGCACTAGAGGGGCTGGTGACCAGCAAGGCAGGGGTCCTTGGGGCCCGACAGCCACAGGTGTCCTTGCCACGCAGTGGCTCTGACATGCCTCAGTAGGTACGTCAGCACCCAGGGCAAGATCTCCAGGGTCAGGGAGGGTCAGGTTGGGGGTGGATGGCTGGGTGCCTTAGTTTCCAAGAAAAACAACAACGAGTCCGGTGGCACCTTAAAGACTAACATTTATTCCATGCATCTGAAGAAGTGGGTTTTTTAACCCACAAAAGCTTATGCCCAAATAAATCTGTTAGTCTTTAAGGTGTGACCGGATTCCTCGTTGTTTTTGTGGATACAGACTAACACGGCTACCCCCGATACTTAGTTCCCAGGGAATGTCCTCGCTGGGCGCCAGCCCTTCAGGAGCCTGGGGCCAGGCAGGCCGGGAGGGGGCGGCCCGCAGGGGGCAAGTGGCGGGTGAGGGGGGCGTGCAGCAGGGCCTGGAAGCCGAGCGAGGGGGGGTGCCAGGCTCCGGGACCGGACGTGGGCTGGGCCCGGGCTGCCCCCCGGTCGGGGAGCTCACCCTGACTCCGATACGCCACTAGCAGCGGCGGCAGGTAGGTGAGTGCCCACAGCAGCAGCAGCCCCAGCGCCGCCGTAGAGCAGAGCCCGGCGCGGTAGCGGACGCCGGGCCCGGGGTGGGAGAAGAGCTCCAGCTGGGCCATGGCGGGCAGGCCTCGGGCGTCCGCCAAAGCCAGACTCCGTTACCAGGGGAACTGTTACAGACTAAGATTGACAAGAAATCAAACCAATCAGAGTGCCCGACTCCAGCTGGGTGGGATGAGTATGACCTTATCCAATGATAATGCACCCGTGGGCTCAACAGCGAACCAGAGGCAAAGCCTGGGGCTCCGCCTCTACCTTTCCGGGCGTTCCTGCCCTTCCCGCAGTAGGGTCCCTGGCGGGGGTCTGAGAACCGCCGCCTTGCGGGAGGGAGGCAGTTGCTGCTGCAGGCCTGAGTGCCGCCCTCCCCTCCCGACAGGGGCTCACGGTGACGGGCGCCTTACGGTTCAGTTCAAAGGGCCCGTTCCGGGACGAGCCCCACAAGGGGCGACAGGGGAGTGCTACGGGTCGTGCCATCGCTGCCCGTTCCTGACCCGGTGCCAGGGGGCTCCTCAGGCAAACCTCATGATGCCTGCTAATGCGAGGGAATCTCTCCCCTTCCCATTTCCGGCACTGGCACAGAAAACGCCTCGCTCGCGCTGGGCTTGCACAGGGCTTTCCGCCTCCCGTCCCGACGCGGTCACTGACTCGCAGTGTGGCGAGCCCGATGCGCGGGCTCCGTGCCAGGGCCGGGAGCAGCCTGCGCTGTGGACGCTTTTGTTATTCCTACTAACGAGCGGCGCTGTTTGGTGCGCGTAGCTGGGGGAGGATGGGGACCGGGCTGGGCGGCGGGAGTGATGGGAGGGCGCTGCGAAAAGAGGACACGGTTACCAGGCGAGCAGGCTGCCTCACTGCGGCGAGGGGGGGACACAGCGCCTGGCCTTACACAAAACGTCAAAACCGGCGCAAAGCATTTAAGTTTCGTACGCGCCACGTGACCCCAGCCCAAGGTCCCCGGATGTCAGGGCCCTTCCCCCATCCCGGTTGCTCGGTCACCGTAGGCCGGAAACCCCGCCCCTTCGCCTGGTTGCTAGGGAACTTGTGAGCAGGAAGCCCCGCCCGCCGAGCTGTTGTTGTGACGGTGACAGGCCCGGCCCGACCTGGCACCAACCCCCCCGGCCGGACCTCCGGGCACCGACCCCCGCTGGCTCCGCTTCGCCCCGCACCATGAAGTGGATGTTCAAGGAGGATCATGCGCTGGGTAAGGAGGCGGGGCTGGGGCTGCGCTGGCTCGGGACACTGCCCCCGCTGCTGACCCGCCCCCTCCGAGCCCAGGAGGGCCATGACCCACTGCTCCCCCAGGTCTCACCAGGCTCGTAGCTCGAGCGGTGCCGTACGCAAAGCCCGCAGCACGGCCCCCCTCTCGGCCACCATCTCTCCAGAGGCCGCCCTAGTTCACCCTCTCACTGCCCCCGTCCCCCACACGCAGTGATACCCCTCTCTCCAGTCCACCCCTCCCCCGCAGGCAGAGGGCACTGACCCTTTTCCACCAACCCTCTCCAATCCATTGCACATCTTTAGTAGAGACACATCCCTGGGGGGACCCTAGCGCTGTTACTCAGGAGTTCAGTCCCTTAAGTAGCATAGGGAGGTATGAAAGAGCTGGCAGGAAAGATTCTCCTACTGATCCTGTCTCCTTCATCTCTCCTATTCCTCCTAGGTCTACTCTACGTTGCCCAGGGTGTGAGCCATGTTGTCATTTTTCTAATTAAATGTTTTGTTTACAGAGCACAGATGTGTAGAGTCTGCAAAAATCCGAGCCAAATACCCAGACCGTGTGCCGGTGAGTAACCCATGCCACTCCTGTATCACCACTTCCTCCCCCATATCCTGTTACTCTGTCCAGGTGAAGTAAACTTCCTCTCCTCCCTGCGACCCACCCCTCTGATCACATTCTGATGAGTAGCCTCATGCGGCATATGCTTCTAGCTGTTAACACAACCCTCCAACAATCTACCCCCAACTATGTACTGGTAAGTAACTACCATCCCCGACTTCCCAAATAATATCTTCTGGACACCTTTTTGGTCCCAATACTGTCACCCTCCCAATGAGTGATCTCATCGGAGCAGCCCTCACCTAGCTACATCCTAGTGACTACTTCCTCCATGCCTGATCTCTAGCCAGGTCACATCTCAGTGACTCACCCTCTGTGCATGCTCATATGCCCTGACTACATCCAGGTGAGTGACACCTTGTACTATGCATCAGAGGGGTAGCCATATTAGTCTGTATCCACAAAAACAACAAGGAGTCCTGGGGCACCTTAAAGACTAACAGATTTATTTGGGCATATGCTTTTGTGGGTAAAAAAACCACTTCTTCAGATGCATGGAGTGAAAGTTACAGATGTATGCTTGTATCTGTAACTTTCACTCCGTGCATCTGAAGAAGTGGTTTTTTACCCACGAAAGCTTATGCCCAAATAAATCTGTTAGTCTTTAAGGTGCCGCCGGACTCCACCTTGTACCATATCCATTTCTCTGTCCAGTCATTTCCCTGCCATTGCAGGGGCCTTTGGCACTGCTGCACTTTAGTCCCTCCTATTCTCTGCCTGTGACACATAATACTCTGGTCTCCTGTGGGGTATATATGGAGATCTAATTTCATTTATTGGGTTTTGTGGGTGTTGGTTGCCTATGATATACAGGAGATCAGACTAGATGATCTGGTGATCCATTCTGGCCTTAAACTATGACTCAGTCACATCTTGGTGAGCTCTCCATTCATGCATCCAATCTGACAGGATTTTAGTGGGTAACCCTTTCTGCACAGTTGCCCATATGATCACTTAGTAGTGGATGACTCTCCCTCCCCTCTGAGATCATGTCCCTGTAAGGGATTCCCCTCTAGCTGTGTCCTAGTGCTGTGGTCTCCAAAGTGGGGTGCACAAGAGGATCCTTCAGGGTGCGCAGCAGGAGCAGCGCTGGTGGAGCAGCGCCGCTTCTTTTTTTTCTCCCCTCCCTCGGCAGTTCGGCTGGGAGGCCGAGCGGCCTTTTTTTTTTTTTTTTTTTTTTTTTTCTTTCTTCGTTGGTTCGGCCGGGAGCGGGAGGTGCATGCTCAAAAATTTTTTACTGATGGGGTGTGTGATCAAAAAAGTTTGTAGACCACTGTCCGAGTGAGTTAAACCACCACACCTCATGCCATATCCTGGTGAGCAACACCTCCACATCTTCTAGCCACATACCTGTGAGCAAACCTCTGCACCCCATCTGAGTACCAGATATTGATACACCCTTCCCCACCCCAACCTCCCAATCCATGAATGAACCCCATCAGACAACCCAGAGAGCAACCCTGTGACCCTTATCTTGTTGGTGTATTCCTTCCCCCAACTCTGTTCCATCAAGCCCACATCACAACTCCATTCTGACAGTCACCTTAATCTCCTCAAGTCTATGCTGATACTATTCTTGCCTGTCCCATGCTGACTACTTCTTGATGAGCTGAACCTGCCCCCTCCCAATCCAACTGCCCCCTGGTGTGCAGTTCCTAGCCCATCAACAATCTCCTGGTGATCAACTTCACATCTTGACAAGTATCCCTCTCCCAGACTGTGTCTCTTTGAGTAAGGATAGCCAGAATTCTATCCAGACCAGCTTCTAGTAACCAACCCTGGGAGAGAAGGAGAGACATCAGAACTGGTATTCTGAAATGTGGCAACCCGCAACAAAGAACGGCGGGAATCAATCCCAAAATGCATTGATACATTCCATCCTCAGCAAATGCTTCATTTGTTGGGGCCTAAATCTCAAACATATTGACTTGCCCTCTGGGGCAGATGTTTGACATATCAAATATTTCTCCTAGGCCTGAGGCTGATCTTTTAGGCCTTATCTATACTAGTAGAGTGATCTATTGCAGACTATTAGGGAGGCAATGTGGTGTAGTGGATAGAGCACTGGACAGGGACTCAGGAGACCTGAGTTCTGTTCCCAGCTCTGTTCCTGCTTGGTCAAATCACTTCATCTCTCTGTGCTTCAGTTTCTATCTATAAAATGGGAATAATGATGCTTACCTTATTTGTAAAATGCTTTGAGATCTACTGATGAAAAGTATTATGTAAGAGCTAAGTATTAGTTACTACCAATTAGTTAACACTGCCATTTCACTTGGTACTGTATAATACACAAATGCCCCCAGAAGCATTTAGTCTGAAATAGACACATGGGTGCAGGTGATTTTTGTTATTTAAAAGAAAAAACCTCACTTTGAGAAGTAGTGGACACTGGTGTTTGGCATTAGTGGGCCCCCTTACCCGATAGGAAAAGGCCACTTCAGCAAAGTCACTGTGTGATTGAGACCTGCTAGAACAGGGGCGGGCAAACTTTTTGGCCTGAGGGCCGCATCGGGTTTCCAAAATTGTATGGAGGGCTGGTTACGGGCGGCTGTGCCTCCCCAAACAGCCAGGTGTGGCCTGGCCCCGCCCCCTATCCAACCCCTTCTGCTTCTCGCCTCCTGATAGGCCCCCCTGGGACTCCTGCCCCATCCAACCCCCCCATTCCCTGTCCCCTGACAGCCCCTGGAACCCCCATCCCTGACTGCCCCCCGCCACGCTATCCAACCCCTCCTCTTATTCCTGACTGCCCTGCCAGGACCCCTGCCCCATCCAACCACCTCTTCTCCCTGTCCCCTGACTGCCACCAGAACCCCTGTCCCTGACTGCTCCCCGCCACCCCATCCAGTCCCCTCTCTCCTTCCTGACTGCCCCCTGGGGATCCCTGCCCCCATTCAACCCCCCTGTTCTCTGC